ACAGGTACCTCTACAAATGACCAAACCAGAATACAGCCTTCCTGATCAGTACAGGAGGGAGTGAGGCACAGCTCCATGCCCTCTGCCCTCCCACAGGTGCCCACTTGCCACCCAGGCTGGACACCATCCACCCAGCAATACATCCTCATCTTCAGGGTAAGGCCATACCTGTAGACTCTGGCTCATCCTCAGTTGTGGGGCACCAGAGAAGGCACAGAATATAGCAGTGTCCTTGTGGTATGACTCCTCCATTTGTTCTTCTAGGAACTCTGTAGTCTCAAGGCTGTTTCTACCAGGCTCTCCTGTGAGAGAAGACTGCTATGCTATTTGACATTATGAGTTTGTGATATGGTCACCAGCCCTATGCACCCAGAAGCTCACATCATGGGAGACATTTAAGTCTCACTGCCAGGCCTGGCCTGGGCATTCCCCCAGGGGCCTGAAAAGGGCTTAGCTCCAGCCACAATAGCCCCAACTATGTGGGGCTTTCCCACTCCTTTTTGTCCAAGGACAGTTTGTGACAGGTGGCTTCAAGACACAGACTCCTTTCCACCTTGTCCCCCTCTGTATCCCACATGGATCTGTACTTACCTGGCTGCTGGCCAGAATTAAGGGACAGTCTGGGGATCTCAGAGCCAGAATCAAGACACACCAGTGCAGCAGCCTACCAAGAGGTAGTTCTGACTCTGCTGTTCTTTCAAACTTGTCTACCAGTAATTCTGCTGAGCCTAGTGGATACAGCACCAGGTCACCCTGCTTGGGCAGAACTAGCTGCCTAGATAGGGCTGGAAGTGGCAGTTCCAGGTCCGGGAGACTGACTTGGATGCTCTATTGCAGTGGCTGCTGTTTGGTGAATGGGGCTAAGTGGATGGAAGATGCTGTCTGACCTTTCCTAAACAGGCTTGGGCAAATCACTCAACCTTCACTGTGCCAAAGTGAGTGTATATATCTGTGTGTGTTTTCTTCTAAAACCCATGTTCCTGATTTGGGGTTATTATGAAGTGATAGTCTGAAGCTGCCAAGAGTAGGAAGGAAGGTAGCCTGTAGCTGGCACCTCTATAGCACAGAGTGAAATGAGGGATTGAGCCTTTGGTAGCCAACCTCAGCCAGCATCAGAGAGCAATTCTTGCTTCTCCTCGGCTCCCACAGACCTTACAGAGACCTCCTGCCACCTCTAGCTGAACATCACTGTTTTGGGGAAGCTTATAACTTGTTAGTTAATGTTCTTGGCTTAACCTGTGTTCAGGATACCTGGCCAGTCGGTCCTGTTAAAGACCTGCAGATTCGAGGTTTGAACAAGCCCTCATCCAATCCCCACACACTGTGTGGGGAACAGGGGCAGCCACCATTCTACCCAACACTGAACCCCTGTTCTGAGGCAATAATCAGTGTCTACGGGGCCAGGAGGTGCAGCCATCTGACACAGGGCTTGTCTTCATAGTTCCCTGTGCCTCCTGTACCCACATCTGACAGGACCTTGGCTTTTTAGGGTCCTTATGAGCTCTAAGGCATATGTTTTTGGCAGTCTTTCTATTCAGCAGTATCCTCAGATGATTGGAATTACCTGTGGCCACAAAGCTGCTCTAGATGTGCCAAGTTAACAGAAGCTGTGCTTCCCCAAGATCTGCTACACAAGAGTTCAGGTGTATGTAGTATGGAGGCCTCACTGCCACAGCTAGGGCAGGACATGGCTGTAGACAAGGGCTACCCATTTGTGATTCCCTTGAAATTTTCTGGTTTTTGTTCTTGTAAATCTAAATTATTTTTGAAAATCATTTACAATTTTTCTAAGATGCTATAAAAGCTGTCTAGATTTTTTAACTGTTTAACTTGGTGAAATACAGGGGGTTTTGGCATTTTTCTACTCCCACATTAGTCTCCGCAGTCAACATGTCACTGGGCTTCAGGGCCTCGCTCAGCATGGCCTTTGCAGGCCCATGGCATAGGCTGGCTGGGATCCCTTCTTGGTTTGAGCACACCATTGGCCACTTTGTCCCTTTGGATTTGGGGGCTGTGGTGAGGAACTTTCTCCCTCCCCTGTTTGGCACTTCCAAAATCAAAACACTGCCCCTCCCCAGCATGACCTGGCAGTCTATGTCCCCTCACAACCCTAAGACAGAGGGACCAACACATCCCACCCACAAAGCCATAGTCAAGGATGCATCTCAGGGAACCTGCTTTTTGGCCTCTGCTCCCTCTTTCAGACAGCCTGCCAGAGCAGCCAAGCCCCCTGCAGAGCTTTGGCCTGAACCCTAAGGTTACTGTGGGGTAGCTCTATGTGCTTCTCCTCCAGGCTCAGCTGTGCATGGACTCCTGAGTGAACTTGGAGTCCAAGGGCCAGAGGGATAGGGCACTATCTGTCCACCAAGCACCCCTGAAGAGTTTAAGTGTCTCTCAAGCAGGGTGGGTTGGGGAGGCCCTCTGGTATCATCAATGTACTGTTGCTGTCCAAGAGGGTCCAGAATGGCCAGTCTCTAGGTCTGGCCTCAAGTACTCTGCTGCTCCGGGTGGCCATTTCTAGGCCAGCAGAAGAAGCCCTGTGTGTATTCACCTAGTGGCCCAATTAGTGGCCTGATTTCATGAAGAGGCCCGTGGGATGGCTGCTCAGTATCTGTATGGCAGCAGCTAGTCAACAAGAGAAAATGATCACTCCTTCCCAAAAGTCTCTCCCACTAAGAACTGCTCAAGCCAGTCACCGCTGTGGTCTACAGGTCCGGAGTATAGATTCCGAGGCCCCTTAGACTGATAGAGGACTATACCTAGACATATGGTGGGGACATTCAAAAGCTAGCTTGGATAGGAAGATGAAAGAGGATAGTAGAGTCCCTGTCTTGGCCAGAATGGGGTCTCTGGTTCACTAGAGCAGATGGCACCTTGAAGTCCTTCCCATGGGAATAGACAGAAGTCACTGAACTACCTGGGTTACCAAAAAGACTACTCTTAGTCCTGAGGCCTCCTAAAGCAGCAGGTGTGACCAGGACTGGAAACCCCACAGACATGTGACAGAAGGTGGGGCCCAACCCTCAAGGGCGTCTTTCCTTCAATGACTCCTCCCTTTCACCTACCCTGGCCCTGCTCCATGGCCCCTAAGCAACTGCTTACTCTACATGGCAACCACTTGTTCCTCCTAGTGATTTGGCAATGGATGCTCACATCACCTGGATATGGCCTGAGGTCACCCCAGGATTCACATCTGTCTTGCCTTAAATACCCCCAGGTGACATCTCTGGGACCAATATAATTGTAAAGGACAATCTAAAACCCTTGGTGCCTGGTACACTGATGTATGCCAGGGCCAGGATCACTGCGCACCATCCTGAGATGCCCGTCCCAGGTCTGAGCCCTGAGTGTACCCATAGAGCCACGTTGGAAATGCTGCTATGTCCCACTGCATACCAGGCATTCTGTGGTCCCCTGAGTCTGCTGTGTCCAGGGATCTCTGGTATGACCTTGGACCCCAGCCTGCTCTTCACTCCCAAGGAGCACAATGTTAGGAGGAGCTCAGGAAGGGAAAAAATAAACACAGGCCAGGGGGCTTTGAGAGACATATTCATCACCTGCCTTGCCAGGAGGAGCAGCCATCTGCCAAGAGGACTGGTGCCTTAGGCTTTAAGCTCTCCCACCCCCTAAACCCACAATAAAAATAATCCCTCCCCCCCCCAATGTGCCCCAGTTCTGCAAGCACCTCCTGGTCCAGCTGTGCACTGATGCCCATCAGGGGCTGAAAAGTGTGGGTGACCCCATTTCATGAAATCACAGCAGAGAAGCCTTCTGAATGACATGAGAGTCCTGGGGCCTGAGAGCATGGGGAACATCTGCCCATGAAGCACCCTGCAGGGTCTGGATGTATGGGGGGAGGTGTTATGAGATCCCCACATGTACTGCTGTCCAAGAGGGCCCCAAAAAGCCAGTCCACAGGCCCTTGCTCTTGCCCAGGGAAGCTCCCAAGCACCTGATGAGGACTGGTCCAAACTGCGGGAGAGGGGGGTGGACAACACATGACTGGTTTTTGTAGGCATCTTTGGGAAGCCTGGGCCTGTCCCTTTAGAGACTGCTGTTGCTGGCTGGAGGCCCCCACCCAGGATGCAGTATCGTCACCAGGTGGTCCCTAGGGTGCAGTTCCTCCAAAAGCACACAGGCACACCAGGGCAGCTGAATAGGGACACCAAGAAATGAGCTGTAGCATAAAGGGGGACACCCTCAGCTCTGTGTAGCTGTCTTAGAAGGTGAAAGGCAGGACAGCTGTCCAACCTGGTTTCATTATGGGGCCTTGGGAAGGGGACTGATATGCAGAGTCCCAGAAAGTCTGTGGCTGAAAAAAAAAAATGCCCCTTTCAAGCTCAACCAAGCACATGCCTGCTCATATACCAAGGGCAACATGTGCTTCCTACTATGGGTGGGCACAGAGGGCCCCATCCTCGGGGAGTGCTTCATTTAGGGACCACTACCTAGGAGTGAGGGTGCAGGGCCCGAGCAGGGAGCAGCTTTGCAGGGGCCCAGATCCCAGGACCTCTTCTGACCCACAGCTGCTTGTCAGCGGACACTAACGACGGTCACCAGAGATCAGAGAGAGTCCCTAATTCCCTTCTACTGGCCAGAGGTACCAAGAGGACAGAATTTACTCATCTGAGATCCTGGATCGCAGCACAAGAAAGCTCAGAAAGTCACCCATGAGAGCCCACTCAGCTCGGCTGGAGCACCTCCCTCTCAAGCGAATCTGGCCCCTCAGGCTCCACCTGATTGTGTGCCCCACCCACTGGGGAGGCCGAGCTCAGCTCGAGGTCCAGCTGGACTCAGCCTAAGGAGGCGGCGCCCGGGCCCAGGTGGCAGGAGTGGGCGGGGCACCCGCCGGGCTCTCCGGGGCTCGCCAGCCCCGACTCACTCTGCGCATCCCTCAGTCCTTGACGTTACTTGGTCCTCGCTGTCACCTTCCAAAGTAAGTCCATAGACAGAATCTCTCCTGCCGGGAGGGAACTGCGACCCAGGGATCTTGGGCTTACCCAGTTCTGTCCCTGGGCTGAGCCTCACCTCGGGTGGCAGCCCGCAGAGCGACCCCAGCGCCGGGAGCCGCGTTGCGTGCCGGGGCCGCGTGTTGTACGCCGTGCGTGCCGCCGTGCGCCGTGGCGGCCGGGGGCGTCGCGGGATGTGCGGGCGGCGGCTGGGCTTGGCGGCGGCTGCGGCTGTAGCGGCGGCGGCGGCAGCGGCAGGTATGGCTAGCGGGGCGGGTGAGGACCCCAGCCCAGGAGGGGCCCGCTCTCGAGGCTCAGGCTGCTCCCGCGCCCACGTGGTTATCCGCTTGCGGAGCCACAGAGAAGAACCAGGGTAGGGCGCGGGAACTTGGGGTCTCCTCTCACTCCTGCCCTTGGCCAGTGGAACTGCAGTGCCCGGATATAGAGGTGGCCAAAGTGCACCCACAACCCACTGAAGCAGGTGCCAGGAGGCCATGCCAGCCCCGCCTCCCAAGGCCCACAGGGCCAGATCTGGGGAACAGCGGAGGACCCCTGGTCCCCAGAAACCAAGGAAATGAAGGGCAGAGGGCGGCCTACCCTCACTACTCCAGCTGCACCCAGCAGCATCTCAACTGAGCTCCTCTGGCTGCTGTACCCTAGTCAGGTCCCCCACACCTGTGGAGGCTACCAACAGCCTGAGTCTTGGGCTTGTCTATCTCCAGACCCTCAGCCCACACACCCCAGAGATGCAAATTGCAGCCAAATCCTCCCAGCCCAGCATTAACCAGCCCTTGGAGTGAGGTCTGTCATGCAAAGCAGAGGAAGGGATGCAGAAGGAACAGGCAGTATCCAGCCCCCTACAATTTTGTCCCACCTCTGCCTAATAATCTGACAGAAATGGGGGCCCTACAACGGGGGGCAGGCGGCTTGGGAGGAGTCAAACCCAGTGTGTATACCAGAGAACCTTCCCAAGGCAGGGAATACAGTGGCTTGCTCTCCAGACCAGAGCTGGGCCTGGTGAAGCTCAGGGTGCAAAGGATGGAAAATTTGCTGTACTGTTAATGAGCTCTGCTGGGGAAGGGGAGCACATGGGGCTTCATTAGTGGGGCCCCATAGGGCTCTGGACCTAACACCCCAGCACCACCTCTGTAGCCCTTCAGAAGAATGGATAGTAGTGTGGCCCTGGGATTTGTCCCAGGTATAGATAGTAGATGGCAGCCCCCGATGTTGCTTCCTCCTGTGCCAATGGTGGCTATGGCACACATTTTTCTTTCAGGACATTAAAGTATGAGTTTTTTTCTAAACTAAAACCTTAGTATTGAAATTTAATTGCAGTGTTGGCACTGTGCAATAAATAAGTGGGTTTTGGGTTGCAGTTTGGCCACTCATCTCTAAAATGTTCACGGTCACTATTCTATGCCCTCCAGCCTCAGGCTGGCCACTTCCGAAGCCCCTGACGCTATGGAGGAGTGGGATGTGCCCCAGATGAAGAAAGAGGTAGAAAGCCTCAAGTATCAGCTGGCCTTCAAGAGGGAGATGTCCTCCAAGACCATTCCGGAGTGAGTCCCCACCTACCCACCATGCGTCTCATTTTCATCTCATTTGTGTGCAGGACCTTGCTCCTGAGACAGGTGTCTCAAGGGCCTGCACTCACTCCTGCCCTACCCACAGGCTCCTCAAATGGATTGAGGATGGGATCCCCAAAGACCCCTTCCTGAACCCTGACCTGATGAAGAACAACCCCTGGGTGGAGAAGGGCAAGTGTGCCATCCTGTGAGCCAGATACAGAAGGTGTAAGGTGTGACTTTATTATAAAAAAGACTTCTCCAGACAGCGTGTCCTCCTGGTGCATTCCCTGTGCGTCCTGGGCTACAATAGGTCTCTGATGTATAGGCCACGCCGCACAGCATTGGAGACGCCCTCGTTGAAGCGGAACCAGACCTCACTCCTGCCCACTGCAGTGCCCATGCGCCACTCTATTGCATCCTTCTCTGGGGCCTCAGTCTCTGTAGGGACCACACAGTTGCTCTTCAGCTGCCCCCAACCCCTGGAGGACCCCCCCCCCATCTACCCCCACACACCTGTGCTTGGAGCTGCCACTTTCCTGACAACCAAACGTCCAAAGAAGTCTTTTTCAGGCTGTGGGAAAAGGGTATCAGGTATAGGGGGCTGAGTGGGAAAGGCGGGGGGACAATACCACATGTTTTATGACAGAGGCCTTGAACCTGGGCAAGGATTTATAGCTGGAGACCCCTTTTACAGCCCATCACCTATTGATCCCAGCCCAACCCAACAGGTTCATCCTTAGACCTCAGAGCCAGCCCATTACTCCAGAGCCCACCCAACCCCCAGCAGCAGCCTTGCCTAACCCTGCCCATCCCACCTGCTCCTCCAGGGTTGCTTTCTTCATGATATGTTCCAGTCGCTGCTCATGGTTGCGCAGAGGAGGTTGCCTCACCCCTTTATCTCCACTTCCAACAAGATTTTCAGGCCCTGGGGGACCCTGGTCTACCTGCAGGGAACACTGTGGTGAGGGCTGGCTGGGCAGAGCCAACACCATGGATAGTATCCACTTCCTGGGTCCCACTTTGCCAATAGGGTAGGTTCACAAGGGATCTAGCTCACCTGGGGACCAACCCTTGCCTGGGCCAAAGCCTCTGCTCGACGCATCTTTTCCACTTCAATTTCCCGGGCAATAAGCTGCTTGGCCTGGTAGGTGAGAGGCTTGCGGGCAGGCAGTTCAGGGAAGTGGCAGACCTCCTCCACATTCCTGCTCAGGGGCAGGGCAGGACACCATGGCACTGATCAGCAGGATCAGGGCCAGAGGCCCACATGGTGTTCTAACCCCACAAAGTGGGACTCTGGAATGGGGGATGAGGTCCCAGTGCAGTCATACCCCAGCCCTATGACAGCTGGCAATTAATAGCCTTGAGCCTGTTTTCCCAATTGTAAGCAAAAAAAATTAAAGGAGCCTTCCTACACAGAGAGAAAATAAAACAATGGGCAGGGCAAAGGATGCAGAATTCTGAACACTAGAGCCCTCATTTAAACCACAGAACCGCAAGGCCATTGCTCTGGTGCCTCACACACTAGCCCACAGCACCTGTATAGCTATCAATGTTACTCATGAAGCCACCCAACTGGGAGAACACTGAGTTTGGGAGAGTTGCCACAGTGTCTCAGATCCGAGGTTGTGCCCTCAATGTACCCACACCAAACCCAGTCATTCCTGGGTAGGGCTAAGCAGGACTGACCACCCCAGACATCTTGCCATGACCATGTGGGCTCTGGTACCCATCCTGTAGCCCTAGGCATCTCCTACCCAGGGGCTAGGGACTCACGGCTCCAGCCTGTAGAGGTACTGCCCATCAGGTGTATGCTCCTGGCGGTAAGTGAGGCTGTAGGTAAGCATGGTGCCCACAAGGCTGGACAGCTGCTGCTTCTCACGAGCACTGTATAGTTGTGTGCTCACCTGGGGCCGGGTAGGAGATTAAGCAAACCCTGAGACACCCCTACCAGGCACCCTACCTTCTGCTCTACACAAGGCACTTACGGGGCGCATCTTAGGTGCAAGGATGTCCAGGAGCAGGCAAAGGGTGTCCAGGATGAGGGTCTGAGGTGTGGCTCGGCTTCGGGTGACTGGTGTGATGCCTGATACCAATGTCTGGATCAGGTTTCTCATCTGGCTTATTCGGTTCTGGGCCTGGGACAGAGATAAGCCATGGCTATATCACTAGAACCATCTGGAAGCCAGACCCTGGCAAGGCAAAGCCAGAGCATACCTCCTGCTGGCTGCTGGGGAAGGCAATCCGAGGTACATGGCTGGAGGCAAAAAGCATGTGGAAGGCTGCAGGCAAGAAGGGCAAATAGCGCAGGAGCTGGAAGCTCTGACCGTGATGGGCAGCCCGTTCCACCAGGTCGTCAAAGGCCAGCCAGTCAAGGGCCATGCACACAGATCCCAGGCTGGAGTCCCGCAGCCGCAGGCGCAGGAAGTTGTCAAAAAGGCCCTGGAGGAAGCAAGAAAGTGAGCCTCATCTGCCTCCCAGCATTAGCACCACCTCAGGACCTATCCCTTCTGTCCACCTTTCAAAGGCCCTGGTGCAGGCCTCAACTGGAAGCATACAAGAATAGCCAGGACCTAAAGGGTCCACCCTGAAGTGTGAGAGAATTTTGTCTACCCCACCAGGAGCACAGACCCCAACCCCCTACTACACACCCACATGGAAGCCCCAAACTTCCCCCACTAGATGCATGGGGGCCCCAGACTCCCACACTTGGGAGTCTCATCTGTACAGCTGTTCAATATGCCCTTCCATGCTGCGGATTTCCAGACTGGCTGAAGATCCTCAGCTGTTAATCCAAAGCTGCTTAGGATTGGGAGGCAGCTTAGGGAAGGCTTCCCCATGGAGGGGCCTCTGCCACCTGCTTAGACCAAAACTCCACATGATCTCTACCCCATGTACCCTACATCTGGAATCAGCCCCTCCCAGGCCCTGGAACCCCATGTGGACCACAGCAGAGGCCTCTACCCTGCACATGATTGCAGCCAACAGGCAATGACCTATGACCCACTGCCAGAACCCATGCCCCCATTTCCCTCTCTCATTCCTCTCCCTAGTTCCTGAGGATCCTCACAACCTTCTGTCCCTGTCCCTAACACCCCTCAGAAGCCTCTCTAATGCCCTCTACTCCTCACCCATTCTGTGCCTTTTCTCACCATGTCACCATCTAGATTTCCCTCCCAACTATTCTCTTTAGCACTAGAGCACAAGGGAAGGCTCATATGAAGGATAGGTACCTGGACCACTTTTTCATGCTCGCCTGCAGAAGTGGTGACTTGCAGAATGTGGTAGAAGCGCTGGGAGGCGAGGTTCAGAGAAGCCACATCCCTCTCACTAGGCAGCAATGTGTGGGCTAGCAGAGCATCTTGACCTCCAAGCTGCCTATAAGAAATGAGAAAGATAAAGGCTGTGGTTGGGATGGGGGCCTCCCCACTCTTCCGGATGGGCTCACAACTCCCACCCTACCAGTGCTCCGTTCAGTCTTCTGAGTCACACCCTCCCAGCCCTTGCTACCCTTATGTTTACATCACCCTAGAGTCACTGGGGCCTCAGATACCTGGGGAACCCCCCCTAAGTGGAACTACCCTAAGTGGAGCTCCCAGGCCTTAAAAGGAAGACCTGGATATGGACTGACCTTAAGGGTAGGGGACTCTCAGAAAAAGGTCACCTCCACAGGAGGCCAGGTTGGGAATTCTACATCACAGATCCAGGAGCCCCTGGGTATCTCCCACTCTGTTTGAGGCACTGACCAAACCAGCATACCTGCTGGGCTCTAACTTGAGTCTTGGCAGACACACAAACTGCCCCTACCCACCTGAAGCTTCATGGTCCTGCTCAGGTAGTAGAGATGGGTAAAGCCAGACACAATGGCACCCTGAGTCCCCGCAACACCTTCGGGCACTGAGCCATAAAGGTATGGAAACACAGAACCTTGGAGCCCAAGTTAGACAGCCCCCGAGTCATGGACATTGGGCCTGTCGGTAAAAGTGGTACTGACCTTCATTGAGTCAGCTTCCTGAGGCCCTGAGCACTATGGACATCTGGACTGGGGCTCGCCTGCCACACACACCTACCTCTGGGCCCGGGGCAGCTGGAAAACCTCCTGCCACACAGAGAAAAGTCCTTTGCGCTGGTCCTTGAGGCCAACATGAGTAGTCTGCACATCTTGCACACTCAGCTTCTGCCGGCCCCGCCCATGCAGGAACTGAGTGAGCAATGAGGTTAGAGGCTGCCAATACCCACCTCACCCCACCCCTCCAGACTGCCTACCTTACCTGCAGGGTATTAATGCAGGCACGAATGTCATTGTCTGTCTTCTCACAAAGGGCTGCCAGTGCACCTGGGTCGGACTGCATGCCCTGTTGCAGGCAGATCTGCAGGGAATGTAAGGGTGCCATAGGGCTATGTGGTCCACCCTCAAGAGCCCATCCATGGCCACAGTCCAGCTCTCTAGGAACAGATAGATGAACAACAGTCCTATAGGTCCCTAAGATTGGCCTCTGTGCCTGTTTGACTGCCCACCACCACAGGCCAAACTAGTCCTGAAGCCAGGTGGGAAGGGACCGGGACAGAGGCCATATCATCCTCTTCCCATGTCACCCGAGCAACCCCTGGCTGCCTGCTCTGCTTTGCTGACCTCCTGGAGCCGCTGCACCAGCCTTGAGGGCAGAGTTGGGGGAAAGTGGAGAAGGAAAGCCTGCTGCTTCAGCTGTCGCAGGGATGGCACAAACCTATAGAAAGGGTGGGCTGTGGTCACACTAGTGTGGTCACACTAGTACAAACACAGTGGCCCAGGCAAGACTATTCCAAGGCTGGGACCAGGCCCCCATCATCCCCAATACAGGCCACCCTACATGCTGGTCACTGAAGCCAGAGCCCCTGATCAGTACAGACCAACTCACTTGCTGGTCAGAGGCCAGGATCCCATGTGGGATGGGCCATCTCCTTGCAGGTCACTGAGACTAGAATATTCCATCCAATAAAGGTCACCCCACTCACTGATCATTGCAGATACATATGATGGGTCTGGTCAGGAGAGGCCCTTCTGTCTTGCGCCGCCTGCCCCCTCCTAAGGACACAAGTGGGCCACCTGGCTCTGCCTCCTGTGGACCCTTGCGGTTCAGGATGCTCAGGAGAACATTGATGGCAGCCTTTGGGAAAATACAGAGGAATGTAGTGAGCAGAGTCTCTGGTAGCTGCGCCCCTCCCTCCCCGCCGCTTGCCCCGAAATAAGGAAGCCCACCGTAGGGGCCCCATCAATCTCATCGATGACCAGGCAGTTGGGCTTTCCACCGGCACCCAGTACTGATTCCATCTGTGTGGCTGCTTCAATGCGCATACGGAAAGCCTCAGGGCTACGGTCATCACTGCAACAGTAAGATGAGGACAGTGTCATGAGGCAGCCTGGGTAATCCCCAGGGTCCCCAGCAGGACATCCTCAATGATGGGGTCACCCCTACACTACTTCCCCTACTGAACATGGCCACCAGCAACCTCAGTGAGCTCTGATGAAGGACATGTATCACATATCCAGGACACTGACCCCTTGTGAGGCAGTCAACCGTTAAAGGCCTCAAGGGTAGAGCCCAGACTCAATCAAATGCCTCAGGCCAGACAAAAGACCAGGTACCAGGCCTTCTTCTCCACTTACCTGGCATTCATTTCCACCACACAGTACCCAGCATGCCGTGCAATCACATGTGCCAGTGTGGTCTTGCCCAGCCCTGGGGGCCCACACAGCAGGGCCACCTGCAGTTGAGACAGAAAATGCACTGAAAACCACAGAACCTTGGGAGGAAGCCCATCCAGCAAGAGGCTAAAAACCGGGCCCCACAAGGCTGGGAGCCAGTAGCCATTTTTCCAAACACCAGTCACCAAATCAGAACACTGAGAGTACTCAGAGTGCAAAGCCAGTTCTTCAAAGCAGGAGAAAGTCCTGCAAAGGACAAATTATATGGGGACTTGACAGAGACTCAGTCAGGACCCTGTGAGTGGCTAACACCAGAAACTCCTCACTGTGCAAGCAAACCTTGATAGTTAGACAAAGAATCCTTTGAAGGGCATTGGCATTTTCAAAACCTTTAGCCAAAAATATACAAAATTTAACCATGCAATGCTAGCACTTTGTATAAACACTGACACCACACCCACAGCCTCTAGAAGAATCAAAGATGCCTTCGAACCTCCAAGCATACAATACTAGCAACTGCTCAGAGGATAGTCTCAGGCTCAGAAGTCTATATTAAGGCTAAGAGGGGCTCACCTTCTGCCGGGGCCGCCGGTTTGAATCCAGCTCAGCCTCCAGCATCTCTTCCACCACCTGCTCCTGGCTTTTCCACTTGCCAGAGACCATGGCCTCCTTGCCAGTCCAGGCTGGCTCCACATTGGGCCTGGACTTCCGAGCAGGCCTTTCCCGGCCAAACACCACCAAGTCCCACAGTTTCAGCCACTTGAGCAAGCAGCGGTTGGTGAACTGCATGGAGAGAGGCATGGCCTAAGGCAGTTATCTGAACCTTCTAGAGCTTTTAATAACAAATAATCAGCTGTGACATGTGTGCTATAGGTGCACCAGCATTGGCCTGAGGGTCTTGCCTGCCCCTCATATCAGCCAGCTACTGTAAGTCTTATAAGTAAGGCCACCAAGGCTTAGGAAGATGAAGGACACATAGCAGGCCTATATTTCCACATCCTGGCCCAGCCTTTGAAACTTTCTGCCCTCCCCAGGGAACCCCAGCATCAGATGCTACACATCAAGAAAGGGAAGAGGCACAGGGCAGGAAATACCCTGGACAAAAAAGACCAGCTTGCAGCAAGTCACAGGTGGCCAGCAGCAAACCAGATATGTGATGACTCTGTTTCCCAATGGGGCAGACCAGAGCCCCCACTCCATCTTGACAGCCCAGTGGTTTTCCAACACAAAAATCAACTGAGTCCCTGATTCTTCCCTCTTGCAAACAGGGAAGTCAGTGACACCTGAACAAGAACAAGACCTCACATCATCACTGAGCAGTTCTGTATAGCGTTGGGGTGCAAATTCATCCACCCAGAGGCAGTGCTGGGAAGTGCCCTGGTCATCAGCTGGTTTCTCCTCTTCAGACCTGAGGCTAAAGAGTAGTGTGTCCTGAGTCAACACACCCAAGTGTTCACCCCTCACAAAGACCATGGCCACAAACACCCCACAAAGGTTAGTCCCAGAACCAAGAAGGCCCACCAAGTCACCTATGCAGAGTATCTGAGAGCTGCTGGGCTTCCTGTATCAGCCGCTGCCGTCGCTATGCAAACAAAACAGGACAAGTCAGGATAGCTCCAGTGCCATTCCCCCTACTACCCACACTCCCCAGCAAACCTTGAACACCTCACCTCATTATCAACCTGCTCCTTCAAGGAAGCAAAGGAGACACCCAGCAAGTCTAGTCGGCCAGGGCTTCGCCACTTGACATCCAAGAGAGGGCTCTGGTTGGGGAAGGGAGCAGTTACCTCTAGACCCCTTCCTAGACCACGATATCACCAAAAACCTTTGCCCTCAGGAGCTACATGGGTGAGACACAATAGAACCATCTGACCACAGACAACAGGGAAGGAAGTAACCAACAGGGAACAAGTCTAATGAAGGTAGCTTTAAGAGGCAGAGAAAAGAGGCAGAAAAGGAAGTGAATAGGAGCCTACTGTTAGGGTGGGATTGGAAGGCTGGGCCTACTAAAGCTGTCCCTCCTTTAGCAACTTTGCTTTCCTGCTCTCAGGCTGCATGGACATCCCCATTTCCAGCAAACCAACAGGCAAAAGCTGCTTGTGAGCTGCCGAGAGGCCTGCAGTGGACATGAAGTCCAAACCCTCTCCTGGGCAGAGTCAACATGTCCATCCAATACAATGGCCATAGCCAGCCCCACACTTGTAGTTATGCAGTACTCACCTGCACTCCATTGCCTGTAGAGTCTGGACGGAGCAACAGAAAGGCTCGGTCACCACCTGTGGAGGTCACATTGATGTAATCCTCTAAGACAGGGGGCCGCCTCAAAACAGGATTGTGGGTGCTATGCAAGGCCTGTGTGAGACCTGCATCTGCAGCAGCATCCAGAGGTCTAGAAAGGAATGGGGCTCAGCTCAGGGACTTGCATGTCCTGTCACACTGGGAGGGGTACCTGAACCCACCCCCCTTAGGGCGCCAGACCTCCCACAGGCTCCCACTCTTCAGACCTCATCCAGGAAACAGAATCCTTCCAAACGCCTCTTGGACAGACAGACAGGAAAAAAAAGAGTGCCCTAAGCTACACACCCAGAACCCCACAGCTCAGTGGGGACTTCAGGACTCAGTGGGGGGGTTATGTCCCTTGGTGGAGACTCAGGAAACTGCAGATCTTCGATCTCTGACCCAAAGTTCAGTCTCTTGACTGCCTCCAGTTTGGACCGCTTGACCTTAGGGGCTGAAGAGAGACAACAGAGGGATTGGAACGAGAGCGACTTCCCAACACACTCCCACCTTAAAGAGGAGCAGCCTGTGGAATTACTGTGGGACAGGGGCTCCTTATTGGGGAAAGCGGCATCCACTTGCCGCTTTCTGGCACCGCGAGTGCTGCCTAGAGAACCAGGGGGGCAGGACCGAGTGGCGGCGTCCCCTCCAGCAATGGCCTCCTCGAACGTTGGGCAGGCCTCGGCCATGGGAGGCGGCGAGGGCCTGGAGGACGGCAGGAATGGCGCCCCTGCAGAGAAAGCGGCTCATAGGCGATGCCCGGAAAAGAAGTAGTGCTCTGGCCGCAGCGTTGAAATCTTCACAGCCCAGTGCGCGCCCCGGGCTGCACCCACCTTCCAGCTCGGCTAGCACCTCGAGCTCCGCTGCGAACTGGCTGTGGAAGTCGTCCTCCACGCCATGTAGCTCTTCCTCATAGTCCTCCATGGCACCCTAACCTGACCGTAGTACTGGGGACACCAGCCACCGCCTACTCCTTTCCCAGGACGCTCCAAAGTTCCCGCGCCACTGCCGCCGCCGCCACGCTCTGACTCCACCCCGAGCGTCCAACTACCGCCAATCAGTGACCGGCGTGCCCAGCGGCGCCCTCCATTGGTCATCAGGACAGGGGAAGGGCTACGCACCAGTCAGCCCTCAGAGTCCCGCTCAGTGGGCGCACCAGGGACCTGGAGCACTCGCTATTGGCCGATACAGCCGCTTGTCCGCAATGAGGCGGGCAGTGGGCGGGGAAAAGGCGAGGCTCGCGGGTCCCTGGGCGCCCGGGTTGGTAACACCGGCTGGAACCCCTACCCCCAGTGACATCTGGGCCCGGACTTCGCGGACAACCCGTAGGTCAGTCCTGAGGTGGATGGAGGCGCGAGAGGCTCTCAGAGCCGGGGTTTGACTATTAGGGCACGCGCGAGTGGGGTCGAGAGCCCCTGCGGACCTCGGGAGCCCCTCTCTTTGCCCTCTGTCCACTTAGGGAAGGCCCACAGCACAGCTTTTTCTCTCAGATCTGAAGTAACCCAGGGCAAGGCGGACTAACCTCCACTTCCGTACGCCACCGCGCCCCATTGCTTCCCCTCCCTGAGGTGGGACAGAAAGGGATCTCACCTTGTGGGCGCGCATATCCTGCCAGAAATGCAGTGCCGCTGCTGTTTGGAGACCTGGGGCTCACTCTCATCCTCGCAGTAGGCCCTGCCATGGAGCCGGGCAGCATGGAGAATCTTTCCATCGTGTACCAGAGCAGTGACTTCCTGGTGGTGAACAAACATTGGGACCTGCGCATTGACTGCAAGACTTGGCGGGAGACCTTAACCCTGCAGAAACAGCTTCGACACCACTTTCCAGAGCTGGCTGATCCTGACACCTGCTACGGGTTCAGGTATGTGGTCTGCACAAGTGACCCATAGCAGCAGCCACTGGAGAGAATTCGCTCAGACACTGAGCTTTGTCAGGGGGCACTACCCACCATCCAACAGTGTCTGGGTATCCCTGCCCCTTGCCCTCCATAGGTTCTGCCACCAGCTGGACTTCTCCACCAGCGGGGCACTGTGTGTGGCCCTGAACAAGGCAGCTGCAGGCAGTGCTTATAGATGCTTCAAAGAGCGGCGTGTGACCAAGGCTTACTTGGCGTTGGTAAGGATGGAGCCAGGGTGGGGGTTGGGAGACATTGGACTCCCACCTACTTTCACAGGCCTCACATGGCCACCTGAATGTCAAGCAGGCTTCCCAGTGACAGTAGGATGGCCCACTGAACTACATGTGGTACCCCTTACCTGGCAGGTCCGGGGCCACGTCCAGGAGAGCCAGCTGACAGTCAGCTATGCCATTGGCAGGAACAGCACAGAAGGTCGGACGCATACCATGTGCATCGAGGGCACACAGGGTACGATGGCCAGGGTTGGGAGCCAGGGCACACATCCAGCAAGGGCCTTGCACAGAACTGGCCATCTGGAATTGGCCATCTGGGGTCAGCCCATCAGGGATTGACACACCTGCCCCTACACCCAGGTTGCGAGAACCCAAAGCCAAGTCTCACAGAGCTGCTGGTCCTGGAGCATGGGCTATATGACGGCAATCCTGTATCCAAAGTGCTGCTGAAGCCTCTGACAGGTGTGTCCAGGGAAAGGGAGGGCTCCAGTCATACAAGAAAGTGAGCTGAGGCACAGAAACTTTGTGGCCTACTTGGGTCAACTGAGTACCTGAGCATAGCCAGTGATAAGATCTGCTGGATGTTTTTCCTGCTGGGAGGGTTTTGCTGGAGTCTCCAACAGGACCAGTTGTGCTCTTGCTCAGCCCTCATCAGAAGCAACCCCAGAATAGTTTCTTGTTCTGACCTTGATATCTCATATGATAGTAGAGGACAAAAGGTTATATTCCAAGGGGTAGTCATGAGATTCCAAGGCTACATCAAGGGAACCTGCTGGAGAGGGTTTGGGCCTAGAGCTACGCACCCTAGCCTGACCTCCACCTGCCCCACAGGCCGGACTCACCAGCTGCGTGTGCACTGCAGTGCCCTTGGTCACCCTATTGTGGGTGATCTGACGTATGGGCAGGCCACTGGACAGGAGGACCAGCCCTTCCGCATGATGCTGCACGCGTTCTACCTGCGCATCCCCACACTGGCCGAGTGTGTGGAAGCCTGCACGCCGGATCCCTTCCTGTCTACCCTAGACGCCTGCTGGTGCCCCCACACCCTGGTACAACCTCTTGACCAGCTTGTCCAGGCCCTGCGGGCCGCCCCTGACCCTGAACCCATGGATGGGGACCCTGGGCCCTGTAGCCCCTCCAAACCCCTACCTGGGCCAGGGCAGGGTCTCCCTGAGACTGAGGCTCAAAGAACATCCTACCTGCAGTGGCTATCAGAATGGACACTGGAACCAGACAACTGAAGGCCACTGTGGGATGCTGGACTCAGTTGGGCAAGGGGCTGGTAGGGCAAGCAGAGGACCAGCTAGGCATGACTTTTGGAGGTCAGTGCTCTCAGGCTGTGGGATTGATGTCTGATTAGGGGGCCATCCTCCCAGTGTCGCCTGGGTAAAACATACTCTTCTTGCCTGAACAGCTTTGTGGCTCCAGAGTTTCTCCCTAGCAGTGATGGTGAACCTATGGCACATGTACTGCAGCCAGCTGTTTGTTATCATTGAACACTCTCAGAAGTTACCTGTCACTGCCCTAGGGCCTCATCTAACAGACTTATTAGAGACCATCTAGCTGATAGCTTCAGAGCTAAGATCTGGCCAGCCTTTGCCCCCAGGTGAGTTCCTGCTGGGCCCAGCAGCTATTTCCTGTAGTGCCCTGCTCACCCAGAGGCCTCCTCACCTGGCCTTTAGCCACAGGCCCCCCCCAGTCCTGTGTCCTGAGGCACTCTACTTTTCCCTGATCCTCTTACCTTGCAGCCTGACCAGACCCTCTCTGGCAGTCCCACTGTGTCTCCCGCCCAGCCTTTGCTTTAGTTGGACTCTGTCTAGGGCCCTGTCCTCCTTTAACTGCATTCAGTGCCTGGTCCTGATGCATGGGGCCATGCATGCATCAGCAGAGGCCTGTCTCTTCAAACCCAACCTGGGTGCTGCTTCTGCTGCTTCTGGCTCCTGAGCTTTTGGGCCCTGGCTACAGCTCCCACCACAACAGTACCTGCTTTGCTCCCACATGGCCACACGGTGTCAGACTCTGCCTTCAGGAAGCACCCTGGCCCTACCTTCTCTGTTCCCACAATAACACCATGCTCCTGATTGCAGCTGGGACATAGGATTTGGAATAAATGTTCAGTGACCAATCCCAAGAGTGACCATGGGTGCAGTGATGTCTGCTCTAGTGCATCCAGCAGGGCCACAATAGATCTTAAGGTCCTAGCTGCTACTGACCAGCCCTCCCTTCAGGCATTGTGAGTTTGGGCTCTTGCAGGCAGAAACCAGGTAGCCTAGACCTCAGAGGATCCCAACTCCTAATCAGAGGCATCAAAGTATCCAGCCACTCACAGCTGGGGTCCTTTGTGGATCTGCTATGTGCACCACAGAGATCGTACGGCTGGCTGTCAGAATCAGCTCTGTGGGAAGAGAGATGTACTCCTGGGCTGATTGCCTTAGTTCTGGGCAAGATCCCAGCAGCAATGCTGGATTCTGGGGGCCAGAAGAGATGCTCTCTTGGGCCTTGGACCACTTTCCTCACCCTTGACCCCTTATGGAATCCAAGTCCCACCTGAAGATGTGCCCTCTCTGAAACACCATCCTCCCTCCCCCAGCAGCCACCCAGCTGTCTTCCCATTTGAGGTGATCTGGTTCATGTCCTGCTTTCTATGCGTCAGAAAGGTAGTGAGTCAGCCACATGGGCCTGGCTTTCCACTAGGCACACAGTGAGTACTCATGAGGGATGTCTGAAGGGCTTGAGGCCTTGAACACCCCTTCCCAAAAGAATGAGCAGCAGGGCCATAAGGCTACATATTCCACTGCTTGTGGATCATGGGGTTACTCTGCACTCTGGTGGACCCCAGACCTTAAGCAGGGCCATCTCAAAGCTTCCCAAAAGGCTGCCAGGCCTCCCTTGTCCTGGTAGCTGGGCCACATTGGGAGCTGAGCCCACAACATATCACTAAGGCCAACAACTCTCAGTTGCAAACTCAAATTTTCCCCTTTGGAAAAAAAAAAAAAAAAACAGCAAGTGGGGCCACCTTCTGTATCCCCTGTACAGGCCCTGCAGAAACAGACAGGGACATCCAGTATCTCCAGGAATTGTAGATGACCCATGGAAGAGGTGACACATGGGAAGATGGGCAGGCAGGCAGCCAAGGGATAGACCCTGCCCAGGGAAGCCTCCAATTATGCTCTCCATGAAAAGCCTATCAGCCTCTCCTAGTCTTGAAGGCCCAAGGAGCTCCAATGACCAACTACCTGCCAGATTCAACCCTTGTTCCCATGCAAGATAGGATGTTCCTTTCCATCTCTAGGTTGCAGAACCCCAACATGATTCCTCCCTGGCCCATCTGCCCCTCAACTCCTGGCTGTAGAATAGACAAGTTCTGAAGGATGTGGAACAATCAGGCAAGTCCTCAGACAAGGCATTGCAGGTAAGGGACAATGGGAAATATGTACAGCAGTGCTGGACACCCTGCCTACCATACACAGCACCAGTATTCACCAGTGTGTGGCCTCCAGCAACTCACTCAGCCATTCTGGGCCCTTGTGTCTTCCTGTGAAAACCAGGATTACTGCCTGCTAAGGGCTGTGAGTGGGTTTAATAAATCAATACAGGAGCCTGGGACAGAATGCAGCAGTCTCAACAACAGCTCTCATTCTCTGGTCTTTTGTCCAGCCTGGGCTCAGAGATGCCCTGGAAGCCAGACCCAATGGGCAGGTATCTTCTACCTTTACCCTAGTGTACCCCAGGCTCTAAGGATATTGGACAGTCCTTACCTAATACCTGATCCCCCCAGGCCCCTCAGTGTCCAGAGCCATTTTAAGACCTTACATAGCCAAAGCCTATACCAGGGAAGTGCTTGGGCTCAGGGTAGTCCTTCCTTGTCTCCCCACGACCCTTCCCCAAGCCTACTCCCAGACCTTGGTCCCTCCAGACTGGCCCCTCCAGGCTGCATGCCCTTCACCACTGCCCAGTACAGCTATGGAATTTGCTATGTTTGCTGTGCTAGCACTGGCAGTGGCTAAAGGACCCTTTGAGGCCCATCCCAAACTAGATGAGACTTTGGACCATCTAGGCCACCCTGATGGACCATGTTCCTGGGCACTGGAGGGGACTGTTCAAAGGCCCCTGGAGACTTCATCTGTCATCAGCATTTCCAGGGCCTGGCTAAGCCCATCTTTTTGGTACCAAATACCCTGGGATGTATGCAGAAGGTGGCTACATCATCACACTATAGAAGCTTGAGCTCCTGGACTCCTGAGAGCTATAGATGAGTAAAAGGGCCAGGGCCGGGGCCATGGTCCAGAGCCAGCCTGAGGTAACTGTGGCTATGCACCTTAGCCTAGGAAAAGCTTCAGGCACCATAGACAACAAGTAGGAAAGTCCTTCCTGCTCTGATCCCTATGAATCCTACCCAGCAAAGCCATCCTGCCCCTGCCCCAGGACTGACATGGCTGCAACTGTCAAGGGCCTGAGCAGAGCCTCAGCTGGGGCAGGGCTGCATGGGTCTCTGCAGCCTCACTCTGCTCCATATCCACTAGCCTATGTTCATACTGCCCAACCCTGTATCTATCCCTATAGAAGGGCCAACTTACTACCATACTGGTCCATGAGTACTTTATGTTGGGGAAACTCGAGCATATATATGTACAAGCTCCAGGATACACAGATCATGTAAACTGAGATATACATGTCTGTGTGCCATATGCAAAGGTATATTCAACACCCCACCCATCTGAGCACCATAGATACCCAGGCCTGGGCCCCCACAGACAGGGGAAATGCTGGGTAGCAGCCAACCATGAGCTCAGCCTTTTACCCTGCTGAGACTGGGAAGCAGGCATCCGCTGAGCTGGCCCCTGGGAATGATAAGGTAGTCTCCCAGCCCCCACCTACATCCCTTCCCTCAGGTTATCTGATGTTTAAAATGGGGGCCCACTAGTCAGAGCAGTTGTGTGCAGCCTGCTGGGCAAGGCATGGAAGCAAGTGAGGCCTCAGGTGCCCCTGCTCTATATCAGCCATGTCCCTGGGGTTAATGAGCTGCATAGCATCTACAGTACCTGATCTATAGGTCCCTCTCTATCTGCTGCAAGTGACCAGGAGCAGCCTTGTCCCAACTTCTGGGCAGCATCTTCTCTACACAATGTTCCTGTTCAGGTGAGAGGCTTGGGCAGGGTGGGTCTACCACCTGGGCCTCAGGGCTCCTGGCTGCACTTCTGATCAGTGGGCATCCCCAGGGAGGAGATTAAGCCCCTCCTAGCATGGGATGACAACCTCTCCCATCCTCCTCTCAGCTTTGTAAATTCCTGAGTCCAAGGGAGCCCAAAGCTGTCAGACTGTGCTCACTGTGGCAAGAGAAGCTAGTAGTACACAGCTGTCCAGAAGCCTTGGCTGGGCCCCTGAGCCCCAGGACACAGGTTCCAGTGATAGAACTAGCATGTAAGTTCTGAAGAGGGGACAGAAGGTACCTGGGTTGCTTGGTGAGGGGGCACCTCTCCCCCAGGCCTATGGGACTCACTGTTTGTAAGAGATCTGTTAATTGGATATGCTATGGTAGCGTGAGTCCCTGGAGTCCGACCTGTGATAAGAAAGGCTGAGTTTGCAGCTCCTCTCTCCCTATTCTGACGCTTGTTTGTGGGATTATTTCTCTCCCAAAGGCAGAGCAGATGCACTGGGGCGCCATCCAGGGTCACGAATTCTGTGTGACACTGGATATCTCTCCTTCTGTGCCCTGAAGCCAGTCTGCACCACTTGCCTCCCTTCCTCTTTGGCTAGTCCTGGACCTACTGCCTGCTGTCCTATTGTCTTCCTGCTTGGGGACATCTCAGCCAGGATGACCAGCACTTGCTGCCGCTCTGCCATAGGCCCCAGAGTAGGTAAGATGACACTTCCCTGCAGAAAGGGTTCCCTGGGCCCTCTGGGAGTCTGGCAGACCCACATGGTAGGGCCATCTGCTTAGCTGCAGAGGCAAAGGATGGTCAGTCCTCTAGCCACTCTATCCCCATGAACCCAAACTGGGAGACATGCCCAAAAGAAAAGAGAGGAGGAGGGAGGATTTCACCAGCACAAATGGTTAGCTGGACAGTGCAAAGAGACATTGAGAATGCAGCTTTTGTAAGGGGCTTGGGGTCCCAGAAGGAATGGAAAACCCATGGCCTGTCAGGCATACTAACGCACACCTGTAATCCCAGATTCTCAGGAAGCTAAGGCAGAAAGACTGCATGTTTGAGGCCAGCTTTGGCTACATATTGAGACCTTGTCTCAAGATGAAAAAAAATAGAAAGGGCTGGGATTGTAACTCAGTGGCAGGGTACTTACCTAACATGTGGTAAGCTCTGGGTTCAAGTCCCAGTAATATGGAAAAGCAGAGGGGTGCTGGTCCGGCCAGAAGGACATAAGACAGAGTTCTTTCACACAGACCAGGCCAGGTCCCAAGGCAAGGAAAGGCGACAGAGCCTAAAGATATCCTGCCCAGTCCTCCTGAGAAAAGCAGGCGCCGAGACCCAGTATTTGAGGCCCCACAGAGAGTTACCCTGGCCAGGACAGCATCTGCCAAGCCAAACTCCCATCCATGAGCCCTTTCAGTGGTGGGGAGATTTTGTTACATGATCTTTCCAGGGCCAGTAAGATGGGGTTCCCCAGACACAAAGCCCATCTAGTGGGCTGGGTTTCCAAGGCCAAAACATAGGCCAGGCTTCCTGAGTCCTATGGAAGCCCTGTTGCACCTTACTGCAGAAGCTGAGAGGCTTAGTAGAAGTCAACATCTGCCCCTGACTCAGGTCTCAGGGCTCAGACTGAGGACAGAGCCGCAGGAGGGAGGTCTGGCTGGAGGAAGGAGCTTACACATACACACATCAGTACACAAAAGTTCACTCCGGCTCATTCCACACACAGGGCCAGATTGTGTGTACATGAGTCTGCACAGTTCTCAGGGTCTCCTCCAGTCTTCCCACTGGAGTCAGGGGCTGTGGTAGGGGTCACAGGACAGGCCTACTTGGGCTGGGTTTCTTGGACCCCAAGGATCCTTACACAGACCCCAGATGACAAAGGCACCCATGCTCACCCTGACACGGAGCTCTATGGCCCACTCTGTTCCAGGTGCTTTGGCAAGCCCTGGCCTCGCCCTCCTCCTGTCCCTCACTGCTCACTGCTCTAGTCCCCAGGATGAGGGTGTCTTCCAGAGAGGGCTGGATATCAGTGAGATTGACCCATGGGCCAGGTAAGTGCAGTGAGGGAGGGCCCTGCAAAACCAGTGTTTTCTGTTGCTGCTGCATGGGAGGAGGAAGAAGAGGGTTCTGATCTGGGCTGGCCCATGGATGTCTTTCTGGAGGGTCACATCGAAGGATATAAGACCTTGGGAGAAAGGGCCACTACCCTAGGCTTCAACCTATAGGACCTTGTCCTAGGTGACCAAGCATGTGCAGCTTCAGCTACAGATCCAAGAATGGACCATCATCAAGGAATGAGTCCATCATCCAGGTTGCTCCTTGGACAGGTATACCAGAGGCCTAATCAAATCTACAGCCTTGGCCAGGATCACCTGAGTTTGCTCTTGGGGCTTCCAGCCATTAGACCCAAGCTCCTACATCCACTCTAGTGACCTCAAGGTCATCATTTCTCCCCAGGGGCTGGGGATTTAGCTCAGCAGCATAAGCACCTGCCTTGCAAGCAGGCAGTCGTGAGTTCGATCCCTGGTACTGATCAAAATGAAAAAAGACAAAAAAAAAAAATCATTTCTTTTCTCCCCAGGTCCTCTTAGATCCCTGTACCTCTCCCCCAGCTTGGTTGTTTCTTCTCTCTACCCAGGAGTCTCATGGCTGAGCTTGGCCTCCTCCTCTTCCCTAGGAGCTGGTAGTCACTGATGAGTCCATCAGTTAATGAAATGATCAACCAGACAGGACCAGGGTCCCACATGGGACTAACCAAGCCCAGGCTAAAGCCATCTAAGACCCCACTTGTGAGGACACACTATTTCAGTCTTCCTCAGGGTAAGACTCAGAGGTGATGGCCTAGGCCAGTGATGGTGAACCTTTTAGAGCTTTTGATGATAAAAAGTCCACTGTGGCACACATGCCACAAGCTCACCACCACTGGTCTAGGCTGTGACCACCGAGTGGGTGCCTCTAGGCCCCTCAGCCTGAAGCAATGGTCAGAGCCAGACCCCAGGAGCCACAGCAAATGGATACTTGGGCGTACGTAAGCCTCATGCAATGGAGAGTTTGGCCCACGTGCTGGTCAGGTAGGGAATGAATGAGCAGAGCAGGAGTCTTATGTTACAAGCCACTCCTACCTTTCACTCCCTGGGAAATGGACAAATCTGCCCTTGCTGGAGCTTCCCCTAACAGCTCTGTGGACTCTATAGCCTCCTTTTCCTGCTCAGAGCTAACACTGCCCTCCTGCAAGATTTCGGGTGCCACCCAGCTGGCCAGCTACCACGAGAGCAGCTCTCTGCCCTGCTCAGGAGTCTGGCATCACAGCACGTCCCACTCCAAGCCTGGCAGGTAAGCACCATGGAAGGAGGTGTGAAGGGGGAAGTTAGGCCTTAGAGGAGACCCGGGGGATGTGGGTAGGCAGCTCCTCTGAAGAGAGGGCCAGCTCACAGCTCAGCCAATCTAAGAGGTTCAACACCATCTGGGTATGCTCTGCAGTGGCCCCAGTATGACAGGGAGTTTGGTCTGTAAGATGGGATCTTCCTCCTGGAGGCAGCTTTGTGATGTGGCCCATGCCACCTCAGCCACTCTGCCTTTAGATGCTTTGCTTCTTGTTCCTGATGAGGATGATGCTCATCTGTCTTCCTTTCACAGCCTCCCAGTCCCAGTGTGCACTGCCCTTTCCTCCAGCTTTCCGGCTTCATGTGGTGATGGGTTGTGAGGCCAATGGTCTCTGGCCTGACTGGGCTATAGGTCCCTAAGCTAGGAGAGAGGCCAAAAGAGCCCATCTGCAGCAGAGTCAGGCATGATCCACCCCTGAGTTAAAAGGAAGAAATTAGAGGGCAGAAGCCAGATGTGGTGACACACAGTTGTAATCCAAATACTCTGGGAGTCTGGGGTACGCGGATCACCATGAGTTTGAGGTCACCCTCATACACATACATAAGTGAATTCAAGGTCAGCCTACACTACGTACTGAGATCCTTTCAGAAAAAAAGGGAAAAGAAAAAAGAAAGAAAGCTCTTTCTGGGCATAGTGGCGCACATACGTAACCCCAGCCCTGGGGAGGCTGAGGCAGGAGAATCGCGGTGCATTCTAGGCCAGCCTGGGATAGACACATAATAAGCCCAAGACCAACCTGAACTACATAGCAAGAACCTGTCTCAAAATACCAGAAAAAGAAAGCTCTGAAATCAGTCGTTCAAGGCTCCATGTTAGAGGAGGGGGAGTAACCCCAGGCAAAATGAGCAAAAGGAAAGAAGTAGTGAAAACTGGAGTGGAAAACTAGAGTGAAGCTAAAAACAAGAAATCAACAAATTCAAAAGAAGCTTCTTTGAAAAGATCAATAAATCCCTGCCAGCTGAAGGAAAGGAAAAAGAAAATCGGAAATTATTAATATCAGCAATGAAAGTGAAGTCAGCGCTACAGAGCTCATGAGTAGTAAAGGAACATCTGTGCACACAAATGTGACAGCTTAGATGAAATGGACTAAGCCGGGCATGGTGGTGCACTCCTGTAAACCCAGCACTTGGGAGGCTGAGGGAGGAGGACCGTTGCAAGTTCAAGACCAACTTGGGCTACAAAAGGAACCCAAGGCCAGCCTTAACTGCAAGCAAGACCCTGTCTGAAAAAAAAAAAGGGACCAGTTCCCTAAGACACATTCTATGGGAATCCACACAGGGGAAGTTGATCATTGAAAAGGCTGCTACTTATACAAGATAGAAGTAACAATTCACCTGCCAGCACTGGCTTATAGTCAGTATTTACCAGGGTTTTTTTTTCCCCTTTGATATCAGGATTTGAACTCACAACCTTGCTGATGCTAGGCAGGCACTTCCACCATTGAGCTAATTTCCCAGGAGGCTTTCTTTTACTTTAGTTGTACCTTATAAACAATGTAATGCTGAATTACTATAAACCTAATCTGAAAATCTGTCTTTTTAATTGCAGAGTTGGTATGTTTTGTTTTTATTTTTGGTACTAGAGATTGAACCCAGGGCCTTTGCATTAAGCAACCTTTTTTTTTTTTCTAAGATAGAGTCTCCCTACGTAATTTGGGCTGGACTTGAACTTACTATGTAGTCTAGGGTGGTCTTGAACTTGCAGTAATGCTCCTGCTTTAGCCTCCTTTATGCTGAGATAGGTATGCACCATGATCCCTGGTATTGTTTTTGATTGGTTTTGGTTTTTGGTTTTTGTTCTTTGTTTCTTGTTTTTGAGACAATGTTTTGCAAAGGTTCCCAGGCGGGACTTGAACTTGCAATCCTCCTGCCTCAGCCTTCCACCTCAGAGATTATAGGAATGAACAACCACACCTGTCTGATCCGTTGCTTTCTTAGGCCTTGTTTCTGCCATCTGATTTTTCATTTTTCTGTGCTGCACAGAACTTTCTCACACATGTGCTTCAATTGTTGGTCTGAATATTGACACTTTCTGCTGAGGGAGGGGTCTGGGGCCAAGCTGTACAGAGAGTGACCTGCTGCCCATTTTGCCCAGCTCAGCTGCTTGGCCAACCTCGCCTCCCGGCTCAGCCTGCAGGATGACTTTGCACTCCACCCACCAGATCTCCTGCTTTTCTACAAGTAAGTGTCTACCCATGGCTTCCTCAGCCACTTAGGATATCCTGCCAGCATGGGCTAAGCCTCTTCCAGGCTCAGGCCTCCCTGATGTCATCCCACCTACCTACAGCCTGAGCCAGGTGAAGGAAGCCAACTGTCGGGCTTTCACACACCGCGCAGCCCAGGGAAACACAGAGCTGCTGGTCAACCTGCCTGACCAGAGGGTTGCCCTACGACACACAGCCTTGGCCTGCCTGGTAGGCACCTCAGGTGGGAACCGGACAGCCATACCATGGACCCAGGCTTCCTGCTTAACATTGATCTGCTGTCCCCACAGGGGGGACCTCACCTGCAGCTCAGTGCCTCAGATCTTGTGATCCTTGGGGTCCTGGTGTGTGACATGGATGCATCCAGCATTGTGACTGCAGACCCCCATGTACTGCAGAACCTGTTACGCTGCCCCCGGCTGAGCATCTCCCAACAGGCTGCCCTCAACACCCTCCTGGCCAGTGGGAAGACCCATCTGGGGTGGGTGAGGCTCCTCTTTGAAATGAAATGGGTGGCAACCTGAGTCTGGGCTAATGAGATCACTGGTGTCCATACCCCTGCTGACTTCTGACTTCTGACCCCAGCCCTCAGCCTCACTCTGACCCTGTGGGCACAGAGCTGCATGTCCTCAGCAGGGCAGACCCTATGAACTATGTTGATATTGCCAGGGGACCGACTGCATCTGAGAACCTATTGGGTGTTTTTCCTGCCCTCTCAGGAAGGAGCAGGTGGTATAGGGCCAGGTGCTACCCCAGACCCTGACATGGTTCCCTTCCTGTGCACTAGGATTCCTGGATCCTGGAACCTGGAGGAGCTGCAGGCCCTGGGGCCTCTGACAACCTACATCAGCCCCCAACTATGGGAACAGGTGCAGGAGGTACAATGGGGTGGGGTGAGGACATGTGGATTGGGAAGCACCCAGCTTTCCCCTTGACCAGCCTATCCAAGTCTGAGGCCAGTCTGAGCCTGAATGTGGGAACCTAAAGGGTGAGGCGAGGAGCGAGGCTGCTTCATGATTTGAAGCCAGCAAGCCTTTCCTCTCAGGCGGTAGGCCTGGACTTCTTTCGCAGCATGGTGGCCGCCTTCCGGGTAGGGCATCTCAACCAATCTAGTGTCCGGCGCTTTGTCACCAGCTTCTTGGAGTCCAGGGCCAGCTCAGTGTCCACAAGGCCCAAGCGGGGCACAGGTAAGTGTGGCCATGGTGGGCTGGGATGCTATGTCTCCCCCAGTCTGGACTCCCCATCCCAGCCTGGTTGGGGCCAAGCTCTTGGTTAGAGGTCAAGGCTGGGGAGCAAGACAAAGTCTGATTAAGGTTAGAAATGGAGATAGGGATCAAGATGGGCCCTCAAAACCAAGTACAGTGACATAAACCTGTAGGCTCAGCCCTCTGGGATGAGGCACAAAGATCACAAATTCAATCCCAGCCTGGGTAATTTAGTAACTTAGCAAGATCCTATTTCAAAATAAAAAATAAAAAGGGCAGGATATGTAACTCAGTGTAAAGGTCCTAGGTTCAGTACCAAGTACCATAAAGTAAAAAAAAAAATTGAAAAATAGACCCAACACAGACAGCAGAGGTCAGCTGGGGCCTCAGCACACCTCTGGGTCATCAACATGCCTTACAGGGAGATCCTGCATTCGTGGCAACATCACAGCGGCAACACTACAGGATGACCTCTTCCTGGTACACTATGACTGTGCCCAGCTAGAGTCCTGCCTGGGCAACTATGTGCTCAGAGCCAACCTGGACCCCTTACTGCAGCACCCGCTGCCTGCTGAGTGCCAGCGTATTGTCAAGGCCAAGCTCACTCAGGTGTGTGGTGGGCAGGCCAGGCAGGTCTGAAAGGGCATGGGCATAGCCACTGATCCACCACTTGCCCCAGATTTACCCCCAGGGTGTGCCTGAGGATCAGCTGCACCTCATCACCTCGTTGGTCTACCTCTACTCCTGTGCTGAGATAGGCCAGTGGAACATCACATCCGGGGACACTGTGGTGACCCTCCTGGCCTCAGATGTGGCCCTGGAGAACCAGACAGAGGTGAGGACAAGTATCTGCCTGTCAGCCTGGTAGTCTGTCAGCAGACTACCTACAGATGCCAACCCAAATGATCCAAGGCCCCTGTCCTCAGCCCCCTGACCCTGATCCCACTGACTCCAATCCCTGACCTTGGCCCTGTTGACCCCAACCTGCTGACCCTGGCTCCACCCTCAGGCAGTCCTCCAGAGGTTCCTGGACCACAATGGTGTGGTCACCGGCGCCCTACTGGTAGCCATTGGGGGTTCCCGCCTCTGCTGGATGAGCCCCAGGCAGATCCACACCATCCAGCCCTCGGAGTTCCGGTGAGCTGTCCAGCCAGCCATTTACCTGCCAAGAGTCACAATGGGAAAATGAGGTTCAAGTGGGAAACCCAATATGGGTCAGAACATTGGAAGCGTATGGTCTCTAAGGCCACCTTAACAAAGTATTACAGACTGAGTGTCTTAAAATGAGAAATTTATTCCCTAAAACTGGAGACCAAAAATTCAAAACCAAGAAGACAGCAGGGCCAGACCTGCAGAGAGGGTCCTTCCTTTCCACAGTCCTACCACTCTGGGTAGCTGAGACATAAAGATCACAAATTTAATCCCAGCCTGGGTAATGTCGCCCACAGGCCTTGGTGTTCCCTGGCTTGCACATGTGTCCCAACAGGCCCCACCTCATTTTTGGTGGCTCCTCCTTGTCTCAGTCAAAATTCTCCTGTTCTCATAAGGAAACCAGGCACTGGCTTTAGGGCCAGCTTAATCCAAACCGACTTCATCTTTTAATCTGATTTTATCCACAAATATTCTATTTCCAAATAAAGTAACATTCTGAGATTCCAGATGGGCAAAGATTTTAGGTTAACACAAATTTCAGGGTGGGGTAGATGCTGTTCAACCCAGGACAGAAGGCAAGAAGAAAGCTGTGGTTTGGGGAGAGTAGCCCATCCCTAGCAATGTAGAAGTCATAGGGCTCTAACCCGCTCATCAGCACCCCATACCCTCCAGGTTGGCTGGAGCTCCCGACCTCTCCTCTTGCCCTCAGAGCCGGAAGAATGTGCTCTTTGCCAAGGCCCATGAGGCTTTCCGCAACACCAGCACCACAGCTGACTACTACCGCCTCATGCGCCCATACCTCGGTGAGACCCTGCCCTGCATGCACAATCCCTCCCCAGGAACTCCCAACCCTCATCGTTCACCACTGCCCCCTCCAGGTGGTGCCCCCGTGGAGGAATTGCAGCACCTCGCCCAGGCCAACATCTCCATGGACATTGACACCTTCACCAACCTCAATCCCCATGTGTTGCAGGTGAGGCCTGAGCATCTGGCAGGCGGGGGAAGGCAGGGCAGGTCCCTGGGCCCAAGGCCTGCATGTCCCACAGTCACAGCAGTGCAGCCAGTGTGGGCCCCTGTCACTCTCCAGGCTGACCCTGCTCCCACTCCCCCATCCACATCAATGCCTGGTCCTGGGAGATACACTGATCTCAAAGGACTCTCCCTTGGACCCCCCACACAGCCCCCCGGCTTCCCTCACAGTGTCTGAGCGTTGGCAGTGTGACCACGCTACTGGGCCAGAATGTGGGGGATCTGCAGAAGGCCCGCAGCCATCCGACTGTCAGCTTCTGGCTACGCAGCCTCAACAGGTCGGCCCTGGGTGAGCTGGGCCTGGATACCAACCTTGCCCATACAACCAGAAGACTCTCCAGCACTACCTGCCCAGTGTCCCATCTAGTCACTCCCTCCAGCCAGCCAGGAAACATCAATGCAGCACCCACCTCAGGTACCCCGTACCCCTCGCTGCCCACTGAAGACCTTTGGCTGTTTCTTATCTCAGACCTCCTCTCCCGTCTGTCTCCTGGTTGACCTCTGGGTGACATTGGTGTCACTCTTCATTGCCTACTGAACTATTTAGGTACACAGGTGCCCCTTGTAACCCTGCCAACCAGCAGAAAGTGGGACTGGGAGAAATTCCTCAATCCCTCTTGGGCATGGAAGAACTTCCACAAATAGGGGTCCATGCTAGTCCTCCTCAGCCCAGAGGGAGGACTTTGAAAGGACTGAGGGGACCCTCTTATCCCCTTTAGGCAGCTCACCGGTCAACCTGGCATACCTGTCCCTCTCAGCAGCCTTGCCCTCCAGCCTTCTGTGGCTACTATTACTTGGGCACTTCCAGGCCCAATGCAGTATGATCATGCAGCACCAGGACCCTGGACACTATGGACAGCACTGACCCATGGGCATCACATACAAGATAAACAGAGCTGCTAGAAGGAGCTGTAGCCTGCCCAGACAAGGTGCAACCCTTTGCCCAAGAGATCTGTGGTTTCCCTGTCCTAGGAGGTCTACAGGTCTGGTCCCACACACCTCAGCTCCCAGGACCAGCATCTATGAGGAGATGGGACCCACCTAGCCACAGACCCAGGCTGGCAGTGAGGACAAGGCCATGCCCTCTCCAGGATAACTGGAGCCAGGGAGAGCTTTGATCTCACCACTCTTGAAGGTAATCTGAATAAAGTAAAAAGCTATCTGCTGCCCATGTCTTTCCTGGGGCCAACAGGTGCACAGAGACCCTCCTGCAGACACTGTTTAGCTGGAGGCTTGGGAATAGGAGTGCTACCACCTCGGGGACAATAGCAAGCCCATCTGGAAAGCTTCAGATAGCCCTCACTGGCTTGAAGCCCCACCATCATGCCCATCTTCCAAACACTGGGAGAGGGGAACTCAGGGAATCTCATTCACAGGTTACAGGAAGCTCCATCCCCACTGGTCCTTGGAACAGCACAGGACTTGTCTGCAGAGGGATAGGCCACTTTTTATTGAGCTCAAATGCCCTTGGGCCGGATGGTGATCACCTGGGCCTGCTCCCACATAGTGGAGCTCCACAGTGAGCAGAGGCCAGGAACACTGGGAATGGTAGCCTCAGATCAGAGTCCCAGCCACAAGCAGAACCAGAATCAATGCCAGCAAAAATCCAGATGCAAGGAGGAGGGTTCCTCTAGAGAAGGCCTCTGCATAGAGAAGGGGTAACTCAGACATTGCCAACTCCATGTGCACCAACTCTGCCCCCAGGGATGTCCCAGCCCACCTCGAGAGTTAAAGTCCAGGATCATGTAGCCATTGGGGATACCACCACGGAGTCCCAGCCCCAGCATATCCAGGTCTTCCTGTCTCTGCTGGAAGATCCATTCCTTCACAGGACTGTTCCTCTCCTCTGCCTTCAGGCCTGCCATGTGTGGTCCCAGAAGGTTTTGCACCTCAGCCACAGTCAGCCGCTGCCAGGGTGCCAGATAGTCATCAGGGGCTCCAGGCTACCTAGGACACTGGGGCTCCTCTGGGCACAGAACACCCTTGCCTCCTGGGCACATGGGTACCTGCCTACGTCCCTCCAGATGTGGTGCTTTGCCAGCTGATCCAGGTTCAAAGGGCCCCACCCAAGGCCTCAGCCACCCCAAGACCCCACCTCCTTGAAGCTCCATCCCTCTTACCTCCACAACCTTGACTGGCAGCTTCTTAAATGTGGACATGTCCATGCTTACGTTCTGGTGGCTGAGGGCATGCAGGTCCTCGATGGAGACCCCACCTGCCTCAGGGAAAGGACCCCAAGCTCCAGATCTCACAGTATACCCTAGTCTTATCCTCTGATCACAGGTACAGGAAGCCCACCTTTGTGTGTGTGTGTGTGTGTGTGTGTTTATACTGCACATTAAACCCAAGAGTGTCCTACCACAGAGCTACATCCCCAACTCTTTGATTTTATTTTGAGACAGTTCTTCTAAGTCACTAAGTTGTCCTGGCTGAGCTTAAACTTTTAGTTCTCCTGCCTCAGCCTTCCAGAGTGCTAGGATTATAGGCATGTGCCATTGGGCCCAGCTGAAGCCCCCCTTCTTTACAGCAATTCTCTCCCTCCAAAGGAATTCTTAGCTTGGCTTTCCTGGCCAGTACCTGACCCATTAGTAAGAGAAGGTCAGTCCCCTAGCAGGGGTAGAATTCACAGCTTCTCACATGTTTTAAAGGGCAGGGGACAGGCTGCCCTGTGGCACTAGCCTTTAAGGACTATCTTGGCACCCCTTACTGTCTCCACTTGGCCATGTGCACCCTGGCTCACCCAGGAAGGGCGAGATCTTCTCCAAGTACTCTGGCTTGCTCACATTCTGGAATGCCAAGTGGGCCTTGGGGTAGAGAACGACCAGCTGCTTTGAGCTGCATGAGTCCAGGTCCTGAGGCCTGGCTGCCCTGGAAGTAAAGTAAAGTTGGCAGTGAGTAGGAGATGCAGTATGCCCACCGGGCCTGACAGAGTCCCAATAACTCACCACAGGAGACTGTCAGGCACAGACCCGAGCTGCTCAGGACTGAGGGCACACAGGTAGGTGGGATGAAAGCCAGCCAGGGCATCCAGAGTGTCTTTGTCCAGCTGGCCACTCCCTTGCAGGTAGCGGGCAATCAGAGTGACCTCCTGTGGAAGAAAGCCATTCAGGTGCCTTGGGGCAGGTAGCAAAGTGTGCCCACGAGCCCTGACTGCACACCTGCATGCCACAGACACTCCTCCAGGCAGGTGATCACCTTGGTGTCCATATTTGGCTTTTTGCTGACTTTGAGCAGAGCTTTCAATGTATCCAGAGAGGTCACATTCCACTTCTGAATGTCCTCAGGGTTCATGAAGTAGAAGAAGTGGCCCAGGCTCAGGATCAGGGACTCAGGGTAGCCTTGTGGGTAGGTCTGCAGGGGAAGTAACTGTGAGGATCAGAGACCCTCTGTGGTGACTACAGGAGTCTTGCACACAGCAGGCAGGCAGGAGCCCACAGCAGAAGCTACCTCATCTAGCTTGTGCTTAAAAATGTTGAGCTGCTGGTAGGTAAAGGGAATGGCATTCACGCGATCCATCTGTGTGGCCAGCAGGGCACCATCCACACAGGCCTCCAGTTCCCAGTTGTCATAGAAGAAGAGGTCTTCATCTACCACCTGGGGTTTCCGCCCTGGGGGACAGACCTTTTCTGCAGGACAGGTGAGTGTCAAGGGCCAGCCTGCTCCTTTCAACCTCTCCTTCCTCCCATAAATTCCACAAGACCTTGAGCTTCAGTTTACCCACTAGCAAAATGAGGTGATTCAACCCACCCTGTGAGGTTATGATTGAGCCAACTGAGGATCCAGGAAGTGTTGGGGCAGGTGAGACCCTCCAGTGCCAGACCCCAACCTGGCCTAACAGCATGTGGGGCTCACCTTCTGTGCTCCGCTTGAGCCTCACAAGGATGGTAGTCAGATCAGGCCATCGCCCAGATGGCTCCTGGGAGGTATGATGTAGCCAGGCATTTGTGACTCCCTGAAGACAGGACAGGGTGGCTCAGCTGCCTGGGCCCAGTGACTGCATAAGTACACTGAGTCCGGTCTCACCTTGGGGATGGTACGGATGATAGACTGGTCCAGCACAGCCAGTAGGCTCTGTAGAGCATCCAGTGTAGAGACTGACCACCTTGATGGGGGGCTGTTCAGATACAAGGGCTTCGCTCAAGGACCGCCCCCACCCAGTCCAGCCCCAAACAAAGAGGGTGGGGGGTGGAGCCAGAGTTGGGTGCCTCCCCTGCAGAGATGCTGTGAAGGGGATCCTAGTGAGCACAGATAAGACACAGCAGGGTATAGTAGACCCTGAGCTGCCCAATGCAGATGAGGATGACCTCAGACACAGCTGCCATGAACTACCAACCAGAGCAACCTTTAAGGTCCCAGATACCCTTCCTCACCCATACGGTGTTCCTCCACCCTGCAGAGCTGCCCTGGCTGCCTCCTGCTGGTTCTGGTCCAGGGGCCCTGGGCAGGTTGCCAGCCGGGGGAGGACGACTGCTGCAGATGTGGCAATAATGTGCCCAGGCAGGTCACAAGCCAGGCCTCCCAGGGCCTGCACGTTGTCCTCACTCACCAGAGACCCCTGCACACCCTGCACAGGCAATGGGCCTCAGCACCTCTGAGGAACCATCCCACCCCTTCCTTACTGCCTTTCCCCAGGCTCTATCCAGTACCTGGCAGGCCAGAGCTGCAAGCAACAGCTGCCGCCGCTCAGGAGCTCCCCGTGGAAGCACATCCACATTGGCCTTGGCGATGCCAGAGAAGAACTGGGTACAGGCCTGGGGCCCAGTGAACAAGTCTGGGCTGCAAAGGGAGAGTGGGTGCTGGGGCTGGCCATGCACACCTCTACCTGAGGTTGGCCCAACTGAGCCACTGAGTCCTTGTGCTTGGGGGGGGGGGCACCCAAGCCTAGAGGGTGTCCCTACTTGAAGAAGGGCAACATATCCACTGGAAAGATGTTCAGGTTCTTGGGGACAAGGTGCTTGGAGAGGTGACGTGCCAGACAGTGCAGCTGCCAAGAGACCAGAAATACAGCTCAGAAAGTTCTGGGCTAATACCCCTAAAGATGCCCTAGTGCCCCTTGGTTGATCCCACCCCATTCTGCCCATACTAGCCCCATGCCCTGATCACATAAAGCTGTTGTCCTGAGAGCTATCCCACTGGGGCACCAAGCATACAGGTGCTGGCCAGCAGCCCTCTCCCCACTCCATCTTATCTTCTATACCCATTGTGAGCCATGTTTGAGGGACAGAGCTACCAGAGCTAGCTCTGATGCTCTAGGAGAGTGAGGCTAGGTCATCTCAGATTTGCTCCCAGAGAACTAGACCCAAATAGGATAGGGTACCTTCATGGTCAGTCAGATGGCCTAGGAGCTCTGGGAAAAACCCTGAGTGGGCAGTGGTGTGGTATCCCTGAGGCCACCAATTCCTTAGCCTGCCCTACCCCATCTAAGGACTGACCTGATCCACCCGGAGTGTGATATTCTTCTGCTTTATGGCCATGGCCAGCTCCTGGGCATGCTCAATGCTCATTCCAGACACCTCCGTACAGGTAAAGTCACAGAGGAAGCTGGGGTCAAGGCTGGGGACAGGCCAGGGGTATGCACAGGGCTTCCTTACCCCCATATCACCCCTATGGTGGGCCCTATGCACATTCTGGAAGGCAAAGTATCACCATCCCTTTCCCAACCCCAATCCCAGCTAGGTAGGGAATACATGAGGGGACATAGGATCGGTAACTTGAGCACTGAGACTTAGCCACTACTCAAGTCCCCCAAGAGCCCTTGAAGAACATGGGGTCCTGCACTTACCTGGCAAGGTTACTCTTGTTGGCCAAGACTGGGTTGAGGAGTATGGCTGCCTGGAGGACAAGGCCTAGATGATGGCTCCCCAGGCAGGAGCTTCTCGGGCTCAGCAGTTCCCTGAGCCCAGCTTCCTGCTGGGACTATATCTTGGACCCCTGGCTTGACTGCTTCCTGATCCAGCCCCTCCAGGCTCAGACACATCCTTGCAAGGGGACGCCTCTGAACTCCAGTAGATTTGTGCACATCCCCCAGCCCCAGGCAAAGCCCAGACCTCTGCCAGAACCGAAGGGCACTGCCATTCCCCAGAACACCTCACCTTCTGGGTCATAACTGTCTGGTCCCTCAGAGCCTGCACCCACCCTGCAGAGTAGAAGACGTAGAGTGGAGGAGAGTACCAGGATTTCCAGGGTGTGCCAGACCCTAAGGAAGGAGGAAGCAAAGGCAGGCCTCTCCCTGGCCCAGCCCCATGTACACCCCATGGCATCCTGGCCCACGTGACTGGGAACAGGGTCTGAGTGGACCCCACTTTGTTCAGGCCCCCTCTCCTCTTGGATCGGGCTTTCTGCTTACAGCTGAAATGAAGGCCTCAGGAGCAGAAACCTCTCCCCAGCACGTGACCTGCCTTGGGTTGCATTCCCCCCTGGTCCTACACCATGCAGACCACAACTCTGGACTCACCCAAATTGAGGAGCAGCAGAAGGCTACTGTGGGTGAGGATCATGCAGGACTTCAGAGGGAGTCGAGCTGTTGACCAGGCCATGGTCTGTGAAGAATAATGACTCTGATGTCTCCAAGATCTCCCTGCCTTCATACCTAGCACTATCCCCACACAGTGAGGGGCCTCTGGGACCAGGAAGCTCTTGTCAAACCTTCTTCATGGGCACCTGAAGCAGCATCTGGCTGTTTGCCCTGCTTTGCAGACTGCCCAGCTCCACCCCTCAGGAAGACACCCTTTAAGACAGCAGCACCCCTCATCAGCTCTCCTCCCAGGGCAGGGCCTAGCAGGGTAGGGCAGGGCAGGGTTACTGCTAGGGGGCAGGGCTGTTTCCTCACTACATGGGCCTTGGTTTCTCCTGTGCAAAGGGATTGAGCAATGCAGACTGGAGTTGTATCGCTCAGCCCCCTCCTCTCCTGGTCCCATCCACTGCAGTTACCTGTGGGGGATGAAAAACAACACCCTCCACCAACCCCATGGCTTCACTGATCCTACGTTCAGGAGCAGATGTAGTGGGCCAGTGAGCAACCTGGGGATCCCCAGCAAGGAGACTGGGGACTTGTGGCCTGTTGTCGGAGGGTCCTTCCTAGAGAAGTATTGTCTTCTTGGGGTCAGAATAGGGCCTACAGAACTAAACCACCAACCTCTAGGAGGCCTCTGCCCCATCCCTGCAAAGCCAGCCCAGGTGCACCCCTCCATGGCTCAAAAACAAGAGGCCCTCCTACACACATGTAGCCACCTGTCCACTGATCTGAGCTGTCAGAGGCAGCCTGGTAGTCAGGTATCTGAGAGCTACAAGACCTCTCGGTGATATCCCCTCAATGTCCCAACAAGGTGGGGGAGGCACCTGTGACTGCCACAACCTTAGCAAATGGAAGAAAACTGGGGCCCCAGCCAGAGAACAGGAGACAAGGTAAGTATGGACAGGCAAGGAGTTCCACCCACATCTCCCAGAAGCAGGACACAATCCCCACCCCCTATGGCCTAGGGACACCCAGCACTCACACCTAGAATGGCTACAGCTCCCTTACTGTCCAGCCCCACTGCAGGTGGAGTCCAGAGCAAAGATAGGGTCCAGGTGAAATCTGTCTTAGCTCAGACAGAGTACAGGAGCATATATCCTATTCTTTCACTTGGAGCAACATCCCAGTTGTCTGGTCCGGCACTATTTCTGAAAACACCAGTTTCATGGTCCTGGTGGGGCAGCCCAGGACAGGTACCAAGATAGTTCCATGCTTTATCCTGTGTCCTCTAGAAACAGTCTCCATCCAGATCCCAGTTCTCATTAACCATTCGTGCACTTATTGAGCACCTGCTATATTCTGGGCTCTGTCATGGTAACAATTCCCTGGGTAGGCCTGGGGCTTAAGCAGACACAGGCCTCTTGAAGTGAAGTGGCCCTACCTGCGGGACAGCGGCCAGTTCCCAACTGAGCATGTGAGAAGTTGCAGGACATTGCCCAACTCTATAACCCACCTGCCTTCCCGCTGCTGCCCAGGTCTCCAAGCCAACCAGATCTGAAGTCCGGCCCTCAAATGGTAGAACATGAAGCCAGACCACATTCCTTCCTGAGGTCAGGCCTCGGTGAGTAGAGGTGGGAAGAATGTAGCTTTCAGACAAGACTTCAACACAGAGCCATCTGCTCCCACCCTCAACAGAGAGATGCTCTGTGGCTTGTCAGGACCACACAGGGGTTGAGAGAAGAAATTAATTCTAATGACAGCAGGGGAGGAACATCCATATGTTCCCCCTTGTGCAGCAGGAAGGCGCCCGCCCCAGGCTGGGCAGGGACTTGCTAGTCCCTCCCCTGGCAGGTCCCAGTACCAGCCTGAACCCTATCCCTGCTCCCACTCAGACCAGCCTGATTGAGGTACCAGGCAGTGCTGGTATGGGCGTCTGCCACACCTCTCCAGCATACCCATTCCTACACACACACACACACACACACACACACACATACACAGACACACATGTGGCCTGGATCCTGTCCCCCAGCCCTCATTAACCAAGCCATAGTTAGCCCCTTGTAAGTGCAGAGCTTATGTGGAGAATGTGGGCTCCTGCACATCCTCCAGATATTAGGTTCTGGCCCTGAATGGCCAGCTGACCCACCCCAACAGACACAGAGCCCACAGTGACCCATCCATGGCATGCTCCTTTACTTGCTGGCTGGTTGTTCACTGTGACCAAGGGCTCCTCACCTGAGAAAATGCCTGAGCTTCTTACTTGACTTTCACTTTGGGACCCTGTGAGTCCCTCACACCTGTCATCTTGCAAAGCTGACCTGAAGCAGCCCTTGGTTCTCCCAATAGAAGGGGCGGATGCAGCACCACCAAGGAACCAAGAGTAGGAACTTTCCTGGGTCACAGATCCTGAATAGGAGGGCAGGTCTCAAGAGACAGGAAAATTCATGCAAAGCGGGTAGCATGTGTGGGAACAGGGTCACTGAGCTCTTGGCAAATTCCAGTTGATCTCTTTAAAGAAAGCTAGGAAAGTGGGAATGGGGCTGCCAGGCAGGAGGGGGTGTCTGGCTTGGGCTACATGGGGAGGATTTTCAGTGCCCATCATAGTCCCCAGGTCCAAGTGACCTCTTCCCAGGGTCTGAGCCAGCCCTGCAGCTAGAGTCTCTGAGAAACCTGGGTGACAGAAGAGCCTGAGCCTTCTTGGTCTCAGTTTCCACACCTAAGAAGTGAGGTTATAGAGATACCAGAGCCCCCCAGGCTGTCCAGAGCAACTAGGGAGGCTTGCCCCCTGCAGCGGGGGAGAGGAGGAGAGGTGGCTGCTCATGCAGCAGGAATGTGTGGGTGGAGAACGTTAGGAGGTGCTGTCGACAGGGGCAAGAGTGGAGCCAGCCCAGGATGCCTGGGGGAGGAGGGCTGCCTTGGTCTTCATCTTTATGGAAATGGAGAGAGCCCTAGGCCCAGGCTTCACAGGATCTTATGCTCTCATTTCTCAGGAGAAAAAAAGGGAGCAGAGTGGCCTGAGTCACAAGGCAAAATGACAATGTGGTCTGGCTGAGCCAGGGTGAGTTCTGCAGGCCACAGAGTATACATAGTAGCCACACAGCAAGCCACAACTCACAGGAGCATGGGCCATGGGGTGAGGGTGGGGATGAGTTTTTTCAGATATGCACTCGTCTCAAGCCAGTATGGTGTGGACATCACCATGACTCTGAAAATAACAGGCAAAGAGTGATGGAAGGGAATCAAAACTGGCTCAGCACCATGGTCCACCTCAGTGGGCCAGGATAACTACAATAGACCTGCATACCCTCACTGGCTGGAAACTGGGAGGTGAGGTGGGCCATGGCCCAAGGCATAGTTGCCCTTCCTGGATTTAGACCACAGTCTGAGTGGATACAGGCTTTCAAAACAAGATGATAGAATTTAACAGTAGTTGTTATTTTGCATATTACTTTTTTTTTTTTTTTTTTGTCTTTTTCATTTTTATCGGTACCGGGGCTCGAACTCACGACCGCCTGCTTGCAAGGCAGGTGCTTATGCCACTGAGCTAAATCCCCAGCCCCCTACTCTTCTATTTTGATTGGCTTTACTCTGTTTTATTTTGTTTGGTTTTATTACCTTTAAAATAAAATTTTAAAAAATAATGTATGACACCAATGTGGAATTTGTCTCTGCTTCTAATACCTACAAAAGAGGCTGGAGGGCAGCTCAGTGGTAGAGCATGCTTAGTATGCGTGAGTCCCTGGTTCCACCCCAGCACAAAACCAAAACTGCTATAATAGCTTCTATTTGCTGAGCTGATTATACAAACCACTTGATCTCTGACCTTGTTCATAACTAGGTTTTTGTTATAACATGCAGTTGAGCCAATCTGAAGTAATAGAGAATTCTTCCAGGTACAAAATAACTTTAAAAAAATCAATTTCCAGTCTATGGTTATAGCAAGTTCAAAGCTGGTCTGAACTACAAGGTGAGCTCAAAGAGCTCGAGGCCAGCCTGAACTACATAGTGAGACTGTCTCCAAAACAAAACCAAACAAAAGAATCAACTTACAAAAGTCAACAGACATTTTTAAAACAACCCTTCCATAGAAAATAATTTAAAAACACTAGTCCAATTGTGCGTAACAAGATCGGAAATGAATGTTCACTCTTTTTATTGTAGAATTCAAATTATAATAATTGAATACAAGCCAGGTGTGATAGCAAACAACCATAATCCCACCTACTCTGGAGAGGAAGGCAAGAGGATCATAAATTGGAGGACCGCATGCAAATAGCAAGGCTGTGTCTCAAATAAAAAGAGGATAGGAAGTGTGGCTCAGTGGTGAGTTCTCCTAGTCCTATCCTTAGTACCACACACACGAATACAAATTTACAAATTTTGTAACATATAGTAAGTCTGTTCATGAAAGTGAAATAATTTGAGAATAATATGTAATGTAACTGTTTCTTGTCATCAAAATCCATTACAAACATTTGATCTGTCAGGGCTGAACCAGGTGACAGCTAATGTATCTTGTCCCCTGGAAGGCACCTGAGCACTCTAGACCGACCCCTCCTGACACCAAAACATTGCCACACAGTAGAGCACTTGCATCTGTTTCAGGGCTGTGTGGCAGCTCCTCCATCACACATGTGAATGGATTTTGGAATGTGGAAATGCCCCTTGTGTTTTCATCAATGAATTATGGTTTAAACTTAAAAGATATACCCACTAAACTGGATGTGGTGGTGTGTACTGTAGTCCCAGCTACTGGGGCCTGAGGCAGGAGGGTCACTTGAGCCCAGGAGTTTAAGACCAACCTGGACAACACGGTGAGACCATATTACTTAAAAACAAACAGAAATCAACTGCAGTGGCACACACCTGTAATCCCAGCACTTTGAGTGACTGAGGCAAGAGGATCACAAGTTTGAGTCTAGCTTAGACAATTTAGTGAATTACTGAAACCCCATCTCAAAAAAAAGAAAGAAACCCCATCTCAAAAAATCTAAAAAATAAAAACGGGCACAGGTGGGGCCTGGGGATGTAGCTCAATGTGAAGGCCCTGAATTCAATCCTCAGTGGAAAAAAAAGCAGTAATAAGATACTCTTATTTTAATTTTGCACAAGATGTCCATAAAGCACACTGCTATTCAAGCAGTATTAGTTGTTGTAATGACAGTAATACAGAACATACTTTGCACATAAGCAATGTTTTTCCTGTCATTTGAGGTTGAGTTCATTAAGAAACGTTACCAGGCTGAACCCCAAAGCCCTTTCATCCTGATAAAACAGGCAGGGGCAGGTTCTTCCATCTGAGCTGGGCCCCAGCTGCAGCATTCCTGTGTCATTGTGACACAGAGACGCAGAAGGGCAAGCCTCGTACTCAGTGGGTACTTCTGGTGAAACCCTCAGAACTGACAATGGCTAAGTACACAGATGATTCTACCAGTTCAACAACATCGCAGACATTTAGACACTTCTCTCAGAGAGCTTGCTGAAGAGTAACAGTGAAAGGCCACAGGCTTCACACACGTCACGTTCCCAGAGCTTTGTGGAATGCGTCTTTCTGAGCTGCTCCCCGCATATTTTTACCACCATCAGCTGTAACAGGTATTAGCAGATTCCCTGCAGATTCTACTGCCTTAGCTTTCTTGACCTTGAAAATGTTCTGACCTCTGTCATACTCTGAGTTCCTGTGGCTTCCCAGCTCAGACTTCAGGCATCGACTCCACATAGAGGTGAGCTGCATGGTCCCAGCATTGTCTATTCATCCAGCAGGAGCCAAATAAAGGACTTCAATTATTTGTTTTTCTTTTTTTGAGACAGGGTCAAACTGTGTAGTCCAGGTTTGCTTTGAACTCACAGAGATCCTCCTGCCTCAGCCTCTGGAGTACTGGCATTGTAGGCATGTGCCAGCACGCCCAGCTCCACCTTTTTTTTTTAGTTGACCATTGATATTGCTCCCTCATCTTTATGTCTCAGAACAACTGTTCTTATCCAACTACCAATAGTCTTGAATTTATTTTCTCTGAACATTCTTCTCTGGGGCTGGGGATTTAGCTCAGCGGCATAAGCACCTGCCTTGCAAGCAGGCAGTCGTGAGTTCAATCCCCGGTACCGATAAAAAGGAAAAAGACAAAAAAAAATGCTTGAACATTCTTCTCTAACTGCTGCAATCTAACATAATTTCACTAAGTCACCATCAAGAAATGGCTTTCTAGGGGCTGGGGATTTAGCTCAGTGGCATAAGTGCCTGGCTTGCAAGTAGGCAGTCGTGAGTTCAATCCCTGGTACCGATAAAAAGGAAAAAGACAAAAAAAAAAAGAGAGAGATGGCTTTCTTTTCTTAGCAAACAAATGAACCACTTAAAAACTTCATTGAGTTACTCTCTTTTTTTCTAAGATATACTCCTGTAATGAGATATTTATTCTACGTGCCCCAGTTTTTCTGACCAGAACTTTCATGTGAGCTGAGAACATACCCTGCAAAGAATTCTGAGTGTATCCAAGTGTGATGGTGCGTGCCTGTAATCCCAGTGTTCAGGAGGCTGAGGCAGGAGGATCACTGAGAGTTGGAGGCCAGCCTAGGCTACATAAGGGAGTTCAAGGCCAGTTTGCACTACTTAATGAGATGTTATAAAAAAATTCTGAGTGTGGTTGTATAGACCAGATACAGTACCACAAGATCACACGCACCACCCTTGTGCATCTAATATT